GCAGAAATAGCACGGTAGACGACGAAGACGACAAGTTCAAATGTGATTGCGGCTTCGAATGCGAAGACCGTGTTCATGTAGTCGCGGAATGTCCGTTGTACAAGAAGNCCGTGTTCATGTAGTCGCGGAATGTCAGTTGTACGAAGAGGAGAGACGTGTACATGACTGAGCTGGAAAAATACAAGGGAGGTACAGGGAGGTGTTTGAGGCATGGTAAAGAGAGGAGAAGACGGTATGGGGAGTAGGAAGTGGTTTGAAAAGGCGGGAAGTGATATCGTTAGGATAGATAAACTAGGGAGCGACATTTTTGAGCCACCTTTGGCAAAGTAGGATAGAACGATTGGTCATCGGTGATCGGTCCTGTGGGAACAATGCTCCGTCCTCNCGTGTACATGACTGAGCTGGAAAAATACAAGGGAGGTACAGGGAGGTGTTTGAGGCATGGTAAAGAGAGGAGAAGACGGTATGGGGAGTAGGAAGTGGTTTGAAAAGGCGGGAAGTGATATCGTTAGGATAGATAAACTAGGGAGCGACATTTTTGAGCCACCTTTGGCAAAGTAGAAAGGAACGATTGGCCATCGGTGATCGGTCCTGTGGGAACAATGCTCCGTNGTAAAGTCTCCAACCCCTTGCAGCGAGTCCCCGTGGTCTACAGCACCACTAGCCGCTACGGTATTTGAGAGAACTTACTGTCGAGCAGAAAGCACAGATTATTGAGAGGATTTAAGGTGGCCTGCTCCGGCCATGACCAAAACAAATGGTACTACGTATTTAACACTCGGAATAATACGGTTCAAGAGCAACCCGGGTTTCGAGAGGGTGTTCAGTTTCGGCTTGTCACGTCACGACCCTCGCTTAGACCGGAGCGGCTACAACACTTCTGTAGCGTTGCAGGGACTCACCCTCTAGCCCCTTTCTGACGACCATGCAACCCTTGAAGTCCGTGGCGGTTTCCGCGCACGTCATCATCTTTTCCGCGTAGGACGGATGGAAAGCGCTCACCACCAACACGGAAGCACTGTGAACGGGAGACACAGGAGGACAAAAAAACAATAGGGGAAACGGCAACGCACCGGGTAACATCAGACGACCGCCCGCTGGTGAGAAGAGATGCACCTCAGGGCTTGGATTTCGCGTGGTCCAGACTGGCTGGACATGGAAAGACGTGTGCAAACCGGTGTGCATTGGTGGTAACAGCGGCTCTAACAAAACCAAACAGGTCGGAAGCGCCAGGGCCAAGACACGGTCACCTTCTTCCAATCTGGAGGGAACGGACTTAACAACTTCTGCCTAAGGGCATCACCCTGAGGTACAGCAGTGCTTCCATGTGAACGTCGATTCTGAGAGTCGGGGAGCTGAAGCGGGGGCGGGGGAAGGGAGTAGCGGAATCAGCGTGTGACACGCATACCACGGTGAAGCAGCACACTAACAAAGACCAACAACACCATCTCTTGGAACGTTAAATGCGAGGCAGGCGATCGGTGGATGGTGAGTTGGGGTTTATGAAGCCCACACCGATCAGATTGACAGCTCTGCCTACAGCCGGTGGGACGACCGATGGTGCTGGCAACAAATAGACGTCATGTTGGATGAAGGATGGATCCATTGCGTCTAGTCATTGCCCTGCCCCGCCCGTTCTCTAGTTTGCGCTAGTTGTGCTACAGTTGTGGCTTTGTCGTACGCGGGGCAGAGCAGCACCACTCCCTCAAAAAAGGAATGGAATTACCCGAAAAAAAATGTCCAACTCGTACACATCCACATGACAACGAGAGCAGCACGGCTCCTTCTTGCTGCCTCTCACCCGCAGGTGTTGATGAACTTCTCCGACGTGGCCAGGAACGGCCTCTTGATGATGTTTCTCCGGAGATCCACCCACGCGTCCAGCTCCAAGCTGATCTCCTGCTGGTCCACGTACCAGCCGAACTCTGGCGGGTCGATGCCGCCGTTTCCGACCTCCACGTCACGCTCGATGTCCTTATATAGCAGTGTACGAATTACACCGCGCGGAACAATCACATCACGCAAGGTTGATGATCTATTCACGAGCAGGCTGACGCCACGGCGGCTTATGGTTAACAACTCAAGCCCATTAACCCTAGTTTGGCGGCATCGCCGTTCATGGATAGGTTCATCAGTCAGGGCTGCTCATCCAATAACATCCTCGAGGTACATGAATAACGAAGCGACTGGCAGCACCCTGAGCGAAGGATCTGTTGATTGATGAGGGTTGGCAACGGGAGACTGCTGCTATTGCCTTTACTTCAACCCTCTTGGCGCTTACGGCGAACCTAACCAACGGAGGGATTGGACTTCGCTAGACAGCACTCGATCGAGACGAAAGCGCCGCTAAGAAAAATCGGCCTGACCTATAACCCCTCACCGGGCTGGACTGTACGAGTGGGGTGCTCATGCCGTGGCACCAAACACCCCGCAAGTCTTGCAGCACTCACCGAGTTGGAGTGGACGAAGGGGGTGCTCAGGGAAGTCATGCCGGTGGCGATGTCGAGCAAGTTTTGGCCGTACTTCGGACCGGAGGACCTGCCGCACTGGGACACAGCCACCACGTTGAACTTGTTTTGCAGGTGCTGTGCCAGCAAGGGCGTCAGCAACTCCCCCCGGTCCATACCGTCGAACGGCTCGGCCAGCTGTCATCAGGAAGGAGTCACGGCGACACGTCAGTCACATCGATCCATGTCCGCTTCGACATGAGTGTACGAGTATACTACTTTACCCCTTTGGGGCTACTTGGCCCGTTAGTAACCTCAGAAGGCGTCAGCGTCAGTTGGCGGGCACAGTGTTACAAACGTGCTGAGATCGGAATGGTTCTTGATGTCAAGACAACAATACCACCACCACTAACGACGACGACGACAAAATTCCGAAAAAATTAACGTACTTCTACATGAGATTCTCTGGAAGAATCCCGCACTGACACCGCCGTATGAAATGGGGGTGCCATGATGCCACAACGAATGTGCCGCTGTTGCCATGGAGACAAACAGATGCCGCCCAGTACGTCAGGCTGCTGACACTCGAGCTACTCTAGTACCACGCTGAATCACCACACCCGCGGAATTCCGCTCACACAAGGACCAGAAATCACCCGATGAAGATACAAGAACAACTGAAATTGAGCGATTTCGGACAACAGAGTGCTGTGGAAGTCATGCCGAGCGCTAGCGTGGCAGGAAAAGCTCAAGCGAAAGCGGCACTTACGAGCCAGTCGAAACCGTTGGTACACTTGCGCTTTTCGGGGTCAACATGACACGAGCAGCAGCACCGTATCAGTCGGCAGCTGTGTCAAGGGGAATACTGGAAGAGCATACAGGCCGCTACAAAATGCAGGCTGCTAGATAAAACTAACAACCAATATACCGCATGATCGAGCTCTACAGAAGTACCGCACCTGGACGACAAGCCGGGGATTATTCCCAGCCTCTTTCCCTCTCTGGTAAGCGTCCCAGACCACCTGAGGGTTGAACCGTTCCACCCGCAAGGTCTCCTGCTGCGCCTTGATCAGCCCTCGCCATTCCGAAGGAGATTCGTACCTGACCCGCAGGATCTGGACACAGAGGCTGGCATCAAGTCGTAGACGTACAGGAGCGAGGGATAGGGTGACGTGCTCTGATTGGCTGACATGACGCGCTTGTTGTTGGGGGATCAGAGGTCACCGTGTCCCGGTCGAGTTAGGTACCCCTGGCCATCATCGAAACGCGCCGTTCCATACACCACCCAGTAAAGTGGAGAGCGCGGCCAACCTACACGCCATTTTCATGAGCTCTGGGAAGGAGCACGCGGCAACATCTCGTGCACGCACGGCCATCGCAGCAAAATGCAAACCAGAGAGTCAGAGAGCGACTCAGTCACCAAACAAGAGGTCTGAAAGAGTTTCGCCCACCTCTTGAGGGGCTAGGGATACCGGAGGTAGCATGTGATACCACACCTCCTGCGCCCAAAATATTTAAAGCCCAGGGTCCCAGATTGGCGGTGCCGAAAATTATCGGCGTTTAAAATTCTGTATCGTTTGAAAATTTACGAAAATGGCATAATGTTTATGTTTTGGCATAATCTTCGTCGCGATCCTTGAAAATCGGTCGAGCGGGTGCGGCATCTTCTGCAGCCTCCGGCAATCCCAACAGCGCAGCGACACAAGAGTTTCCCAAGTGCGCCACACTGCGATGCCATACACGCACTAAATATGTGTACGTAACTCACCACAGCACAGTCGAAGGCTGCTGTACGTCGAAGATGCGCTTCCCTAGCCGGTAGGCCTCTTCCTCGTCCAGCGTCTCCCCCGACAAGAGCTTGAGAGCCAGCTCTTGCGTGTCGGCGCTTGCCTTGTCTCCCCCCGCCAGCGACAGCACCTGTCCAGCGCTGCAGCCCGCCCTCACGGACCCCACGTCTGTTTGGTGAGGTGAAGGGCGCGCAAGGCGATGGACTGTGGACATGCGCTGAAACGCGTAGGAGGTCTCGGAGACATGTGCACCCGGCGATACGCGTAGCACACTGCCGTCTCAAGAGCGACCGCCGATGGCATTAGGAGTCGCCGCCCGTTCAAGGTCGGACAACAAGGTACCATCAACCACAGCAGACAGCATGTCCACGCTGCGAGGACCCCTCGGAACGTTGGGCCGTCCTGTTACTACTGTATTCACTAGCTCACCTTTAAGCTTAGGCCTTCTCTTTGCCGCTGCTGCCAGGACCTTCTCGTCCGTCTCCGTGATCTGGTTCTTGACGAACAGAGTTCCTAGGAAGGAAGCCAATCGCTCCAAGGCCTCGACGTCAGCGTTGGCCTTGTCCAGCGAACCTATTGCCTGACGATCGGGAAGGGGGGTACTAATGTAAACGCATGCCGTATTCGCCAGACCATGGACCTCGCATCCCTGCAACGCCGTGTCGGAGCAGCGATTTGCCGGGTTGTCGCCGGCCCAGGCTACGGGAACGGGGCGGGGGCTTGTGTTCTTGTGTGTCGCATGAGTACACCCCCTTAGCGGTTAGACCCTTGGGGGGGGTGTACTCATACTCATAGTCGTGCATGCCGTAGTCGTTTGACCACTGACCTCGTATCCCTACAAAGCCGGGACGGAGCACGCCGGGTTCTCACCGGACCAGGCTCTCACATCACCAAGCGCGAAGCGCCGTGAGATATTCGGCGAGTCGCATGAAGGGTGCGCTGCATCCTGCTAAGGGTGTTCGGCATCTTGTGCTTACTTCCTTGCATATGGATGACAGCTGCGTATGACTGAACATATTTTTTGGTGCGCCACTTCCAGAGACAGTTGTAAGCACTGTGTAACTGCCTCGAAGGTGCTTGACCATTTTAACACAACGTGGTGCGATCATCCCCCTTGCGCGGAGTGAGGCTCCTCCACCCCGTACAACATGATCCACTCGACCACCATTATGGTTACCGCCAAAACAAAACCAGAGGTAAAAAAACAAACAAACGGTAACCTGGTTGCCGAGTTCAAGAGGTGAAGTGGCTTGTTTGTCAACGTCGTTACCAAGCGACAAAAACCCAACCCCGATGGCAAACACCGAGGGGGAGACCATTGGGGGGGGGGGGGGGGGGGGGG